CCCCCCCCCCAAATGGTCCAGAAGAGCGGGTCTGTTTCTACTCTTGTGATACGATCCGGGGCCCCAAGTTGCAAAGCAGAAAAGGTACTCACTTGCACGAATTGTCCCCAACACCAATAATGCCCGTCCTGCTCGATCCAGTCCAATCTGGGGGGATCCAACTGTGCCAATAAATCGATCTCCTCATCTTCTTCCTGCGCTCGTGATCTTCCGCCCTGCTCCTCCTCTTCCTCCAATACTCTCGTCACTGCTTCATCATTCTCCGCATTCCTGCGCAGCACCTCTCTCTGCTGAACCAGTCTCTCAGCCGGTTCCAATCTCGCCCATCTATCCAGCTCTGGACGAGCATGATGATATTCGCAAAGCACTTTGAATTTGCGCAAGTTGGAGGGCGTGAAGTGTCTGTGGACCGCGGCGGGTGGGGGAAAGATGGCTTGCAAGGCTTGTGCGGGAGCAGGAGTTGGAGTGGACGTTTGACTCTTGCTCTCGCTAGCTCTACCTCTACCGCTACCGCTCGGAGAGGCCATCATAACAAGTCTTAGCGGCGACTACGCAGCTCTTGCATCGGCGATCTGTGAAGTTAATCGAAATTGCGAGACCCCCCCGAGTTCTGTTCGGTCGGCCACCCTTGGACGCTGTGTATGCGCGGATTGTGAGCAGGATGTATGTGGCCAAGCGTGTGGAGAAGTCGAGTCGAATCTTTCGCATTCAAATGTCCGCACCGCCCAATCGTCAAGTCGACTGGCGAGTGCGGAGCTAGTCGTAAGGTGGTGGGAGAATGGCACGCCAGCTGCCGAGGATCGTCATCGAAGCAATTGAATGCATGTATACCCGTACAGCGAGCACGACTCGCGACTCACGACTCTCAAGGATGTGCTTGGATGCGTGAGTCAAAATCCACGATTCCAAATGTTCGTTTGTAACTCGAACTATAACAACACATCGTGCCGCGCCAAAGATGAATCTTCAATTTGAACAAAGCATTCAAGATTTGTGATTCTTGATTTCGGGGGTCGCGATGAACCACGTGATCAGAATAACTCATCAGGTCAGCATCATCCATATATATGTACACCTTCCGTATGCGCACGGACTTGACTCTCGACCGCTTCTTTTCAATTTTCGAATGCAGAGCTTGCTTGCTTGCTTGCACCTGCTGGATGTTCGTGTCTTGTTGAATGATCAACTCTGATCTTGCATGCTTGCCCTTCACTCTGGCTCACAAGTCTGATTGACTCCTTGGTTCGGTCGCATGCACGCCCTCATCCTCACCGCTCCTCCTCACTACCCAACACGGGCACCTTACAATCGAGCTTCGCAGGCCCTTGCTTGGGGTGATCCAAAGTACCTGCGTGGTCACTCGTAGCCCGCCGCTCGCATCTCAATCCATCATACGTCCGACTCAGCGTTCTGGACTTGATACCAAGGCGGCTCGGGTCATTGGATCGCAGCGGACCCTCCGGCGCATCATTGCTCCGCTTCCATCCCGACCATCCGGCATCGGCTGACCTACTCTCCCAAGAAGCGCACGTCACATAGTCGGAAACGGATCATGTCGCATGAAACGCAAGCGCAGACGTTCGACGGCATGTCCCACGCTCTGTCCAATCGAGAATCGGACGCGCTATTAAAGACGGCAAAAGCAGAAGGTCTAAAAAAATGCGACGATGTGCTTCGAGGTGAGTCGGATTTTGCGAATCGTGTTTTTGGTGGGAAAGGGGGGGGATGCAGGGAAGGGAGAAATGGCGTGCCTCGAGCTTGGACCCTTCATTACTCGTGCTCATGCTGGTCTCCTCTACCATTCATTCTGTGCGTGATTGGCGACATGATAGCCTTTGCGGAGTGTAGCTCGGGAAGAACGATCAGTATGGCTTGGGCTTGCAGGGATCATCACAAAGCGTTGAGGAGCTGTTTAGCAGAATAGTGAGTACGGACCCGCATTCACGCCTGCGGGCACATCCTTTGGAATCGGGTTTTGTTTTCCCCGCCATCTTGACTTTTGCCCCGGCAAAAGAAGGTGTCGATGCTGCTAAGCCTTGCACATTGGTCCAAGGCACTTGTTCGTGTGTGCCCTCTCCCTCTTTTGACCCCGTGTGCCTGTGCGACTTTTGCTATGCTTGGCTCTATGCATGCGAAGTGCTGCTACTGACTGCAGACTGACCCAAGAGCCTTCTTTGCCCCCCTTGCGCATCGCACTGCACCGCACCGCACCGCACCGCGCCCGAAGCACATCAGAAGAAGCGATGACCAAGAGAAGAAAGGAATATTTGACTTCTAATCGATCAAAGAGTGGAGATCGGATGGTGTAGTACGGAGGCAAAAGGGGAGCGGGGGGAGGAGGAGGGGGGAGACAAGCTTGATGAGGAGAGTGATACACCTCGTCGCTGTCGAAACTGTCGCTACAAATGTTCACCTTGACATTTCCATTCAATCAAGAGAAAGTTGACCTTTGCAGCGACCATACAGGTGTGCTGTGCTGTGCTAGCAGAAACCAGCATTTGATACGCTGCAGAAGTGTATCAAAAGCTTGTTGCTTCTACCATATTGAAGTTCAATGCGGTACGGTATGCGCATGTCCATTCCCCCCCC